GCCTCCACCAGGGCTGACGTGTTGAAGTGACATAAAGACTCCCTCACCTGGTGCTTTGGCCCATGTGTCAGCTGCTCTCTCAGGAGGAAACTAGGACATGTCTACTTCTATGTCCAATAGAGACCATATGTACCTAGACGACCTGAAGGGAGCCTCACCTATGCCTGCCCCTTGGGGTAAACATTAATAGAACACAGTTACTCTTCAAAGGGCCTCTGGACAGAGATTAGATCTTCAAGCCACCAGAGCCCCTGCCTGGTTCCCACAGCTCTGGTTTGTCTGAATCTCTTGTCAGCAGATCTCTGACCAGACCATGATACACTTTGTCCCCAAGACTTAAAAGAACCACCAGACCGTGAGAGCCATTTGTAGCTTCACTAAACATCAGCGGGGTCGGCTGCAGGCTGAAGTTGCTTGGGGCATTCTTTCCTAAAATCACAGAGGTAGCCCTCTTCAGTTCTTTCCTTGCCAAAGGCTGGCTGAGCACCCAACGCTGAGGGCCCCTCTCCCCACCTCCATCTCTGACAATGCAATTCTCCATCATCCCGCAGCTCACACTGTTTCCCAGCGCTCCCTGGTCCTCTCTCCATAATGACATCATTACTCACTCCACAGATGGAAGTGACAAGGGCTGCCATAACAAAGCAAACAGGCTGAGCTGGCAGAGGCTTTTGTGTGGGTGTGTATACTCTGAGCTTTGAGGCTGAGGAGATCTGCCTGTCTGACAGCCTGGAAGTAACAATAAAAGAGAAAAAGCATGGGCAACTTGACAAGATACTTAAAAACGTACATCAGTACAATAAGACCATGAAAAAGGGGGCCTTCGGGGGAGGGGGGGGGGGGGGGGGGTGGGGGGGCTTCCATTTTCTGAGGAATAAGGGAGGGGAGAAGGGGAAGGCAGGGTGGAACTGGGAGGAGAGGAGGGAAGGGGAAATGATTGAGATGTAAAGTGAATAAAGAATCAAGAAAAAAAAAGAGAAAACAGGATCCTTCATTATGCCTTTTAAAGCCAAATAATCTAGAGGGCATCTAATTCTAAGCTTAAACCACTGAACTCTGATAACACTAAACTCTGCCAAAAGATAATTTCTGTTTTGTGTGTGTGTGTGTGTGTGTGTGTGTGTGGAGGGGGATAA